TATAAAACTATCTTCGGCATTCCATCCTCAAACTGATGGACAAACGGAGCGTGTTAATCAAGTTTTGGAGTAATATTTAAGATGTACCATTAATTACCAACAAGATGATTGGACAACTCTTTTGCCATTGGCAGAGTTTGCTTACAATAACACGGTACACTCTTCTACAAAACAAACACCTTTCTTTGCTAATTATGGTTATCATCCATGACTTGATACTTTTGACTTTTCAAAAGTTGATAATCTTGTTGCGAAAGATTTGGCAATTCATTTGTCAGAGCTACATGCAACGATGAAGGCGCAGTTAAAAGAGGCTCAACAACAACAAAAGGCCAATGCGGATGTCTATCGAAAGGAACAACCATCATTCGTCTTGGGTGATAAGGTATGGCTACTTTGTCGCAATATCAAGACCACTCGTCCTTATGACAAGTTGGACTATCGAAGGCTGGGACAATTTTCTATTTCTGCACAAATCAATCCAGTTGCATATCGTTTATATCTACCGAAGTCAATGAAAATCCATCCAGTATTCCATGTGTCTCTTTTTGAACCATACAAGACAGTGGACATACCAAGAAGATGACAAGCTCCACCTCCTCCTATAGAAGTGGACAATAATGAAGAATTTGAAGTAGAAGAAGTCTTAGATTCAAGGCGGCAACGAAATAAATTAGAATATCTTGTCCATTGGCGCGGATATGGTATTAGTAAACGCACATGGGAGCCAATAAAGAATCTTGAAAATGCAGCAAAGGTGGTGGAGGCTTTTCATCGACGACATCCATCAAAATCAAGATGAAAACCTTCTTTATAAAAGAAACAACATCTAGGCAAGATAACATTCTACTTTCAATTCTTGTTTGTAGCTTCATTGTAGTAGTGGCGCTCAAGAGATAGAGAACCAACAACCAGCGGATTCGACTCAAGAGCCTTCATTTGCTGACCTTCCGGACGAGACATTATAATTGTCACAACCTTCAAGACGACACAATTGAGATGAAGATCTTCAAGAACGACATGTTCTTCCTCGAATAGATGGTGAGATACAACGCGTTTGGTATCACGATTTGGGAAGGGACTCCCGATGTTTGGTGATTTTGCTAGAGATAGGAACAACTCCTGATGATGTTGCAAATATGCTATTCGAAGGAAGTTACGAAGGCCTCAACAATGATCAAATAACTGGGTGGTCTTCCCGCCCTGGTATGGGACACTACCGATGGTTGAGAGGCCCTATCAATCATCTTTGAAGAGAACAAAGATCACAGTATGTGGCGAATATAATTCGTCGCATCATAGATTTCTTCAACATATGATGATCGCTCCTCGTGGAACTCGTCCCTAGAAGGGGGAGTAATGTCACGGCTATAATCATGTAAGCTAATAATTACATATAGAAATAGGTAGAAGTAAGTAAAAGTAGATAAAAGTAAGTTAATTCTATAATATTTAATATAGAAGCTTTTTAGAAGCTTCCTAGACGCTGCTTTGACTTCATAGGTGTCTTTAATTGACTTTTTGGATTAGAAACGTGGTCAACAAGTTGGCCATGTGCCACACATGTTGTTAGCTTGAAGATCAAGCTAACTATGTGGCCCGCACATAGAAAAACTTGCCTTGTAAGTCAAGGCATGTGTTTTACAAAGTCAACACATATTGGAGGTCCTTTAGAACGTCGCCACGTAGCCCCTAATTAGATAGTATATATAGAGACAAGAGTGAAGGCTTCTTCACTCTTGTCAACTCCTTTCTTGCTTCTAGTCTAGTTTCAAGGGTCTCTAGTTTTCTTGTCTTTTGGCAATAGCCATTCCAGTTTTTCTTTCAATATATATACTTGTTTATATATATTTTGTTACCTCTCTTTGAGTAAAGGCTCACTTGTCTGAATTATTTTTTCATCGAGTTCTTGTCCTTGACAGTAAGATACAAGGTTAGATAGGTTGCCAAAAACTAATCACAAGTTATTGATATTGATTTCAATGAGACATTTGCTTCCATGGCCAAATTCAACACCATTAGTATCATTATGACAATTGAGGCAACAATGTACTTGGAAATGTATCAAATGGATGTAAAAATAGCTTTATTAAATAGAAAGTTAGAAGAAGACAATTATATAGATCAACCTCAAGGATTTGTTGAAGAAGACAATTATATAGATCAACCTCAAGGATTTGTTGAAGAAGACAAATAACATCTTGTTTATAAGTTTCAAAAAATCTTTATATGAATTTAAATAATCACCAAGGATATGGTACCAATATATTGACACATTTTTTATGAATGAATGATTTGAAAGAAGTAAAGTTGATTATTCCATATATGTAATGCAATTAAATGAGTTCATATTGATTGTTGTCTTATATGTTGATGATTTGATCATCTTAACCAATACATTAAAGATGATGGATTGGTTGAAGGCAAAGTTAAAAAAAAACTATGAAATGAATGGTTTGAAAAGACTTTATTCTTGTTTAAAAATAAAGTTTGTAAGAGATCATGTTAAGAAGACTATTATAATGAGCCAAAACAAGCACATTGAAGAGGTATTGAAATGATTCAAGATGGAGGAGTATAAGCTCATAAGTATACTTTTGGAGCCCAATTTGAAGTTGATGAAGCTTACAGATGAAGAATTTCCTGAAGCTAAAGATTAAATGTAAGATATTCCATATAAGGCAGTAATAAGCTTATTCATATATACAATGGTTAGCACGAAGGTGGATCTTGTATATGCGATGAGTATTTTGAGCCAACAAATGTCTAAGGTTGGACCACTCCATTGAAAAACCATCAAAAAGATCACAAGGTACTTAAAAGATACTTTGCATTTTAAATTATGACGTAAAGGTAATAATATTACTTTACATGGTTATTATGATGCAGATTGGGCTAGAAATACAAATGATAGAAGATCAACAATAGAATATATATTCTTTGTTGGAGTAAGAGATATTTCATGGAATTACAAGAGACAACCAATAATTACAAGATCAATAATGGAGGTAAAGTACATAGCAATAAGCCATAGTGCAATGGAGGCAATATAGCTAAGACAATTTTTAGAGGATATTGGAGTAGTGTAAATGGAAGCAACTTCAATGGAGTGTGAAAATCAAGGATGTCTTGCATTTACAAAGAAATCAAAGCATTATTCAAGGATCAAACACATTGACATTCAACATCACTTTATAAAAGAAAAGATTGAAATGGGAGTGATTGATATAAAGTATTGTACAACAAAAGACATGTTTGTTGATTTGTTGACAAAAACATTAGTAAAGGATAGACATTATATATTGGCAAAGGTATTAGGATTAAAAGCCCTGATTAAACACAAAGTGAGAGTATTAAAGTAAGTAAGTAAAAATAAAAATAGAAGAAGTTGCATTGTAGAAGATATTATCTTAAGTAAGTTGCTATTAGTTAAAGAGTTGATTCTTGATATGTAAGAAGGCCAAGAGATAAGATAGATAAACGAACAAAGGATCTTAAGGATATAGAGGATATGCTAAAGGCATATTTTTATAGTAGACAAGATATCAATGGATAGTCTTGGTAGAATGTTAGATGGATGTATTCATCAAAGAATAGTTGTCTATTAGGGTAGCAACCACCACCTATAAATATTGGGTGTAGGAAGTAAAAGATATCTTATTCCATACACTCTTTGTGAGCAACCTTGTTGATGCTATGTGTTGTAACTTCAAAGTTTTTATTTATTTAATAATAAATTTATGCATTTTGAAAATATTAAAACAAGCTCAAATTAAGTTCATATTTGGTTTAAATGTGATTTTTAAATTTTAAATTTGAACTTAGTTTAAATTACAAATGTGACTTCTTTAAATATGATTTTTTAAATTAGTACTATGGTAGTTTCAATCTTATTTCACACTTCATTTGAACCAATTTAACATTCTATTAATAAGTTAGAAGTAACCAAATAAAATGCAAAGCAATTAATATAGTTTAAATTGTTTTGATAAATCTATATACAAATAGTCAAATATTCTTTTGTGTATTTGATTATAAATTGATTGAAAGAAAAATTATGGTTATATTTATTTTAAAATAATTCTAAATTAGAAAGAATAACTTTTAAAATGATTGATATAAAAATATGTTTTTTTAATATACTATTTTAAAAAAATTATATATATAATTTACAATCTTTAATCACATATCAAATACAAAATATTTTAAAAATATGTTGTTTCTATTTTTTACTATTATAACTATTTCAACTTTTGTATTTTTTTAGGTTGATTTATTAAGTTTGCCTACTATCAAAGATTAATAAAAATTCAAATTAATTTTTAAAATATTATTATTATTATTATTTTTAATGTAATGAACTTTAGTTTTTTATTGCATAATTAGAACTATATTTTTATTTTTTAATATTTAGTATATGTATTTTAAGTAAATTAATCTAAATCAAAATCTCATTAGAAGAAAAAATCCCTTTTAAACTTAATATCATGTATCATTTTTAATTTTTTATGATTTTAAAATATAATTTTAATAATGATAATAATAATAATAATAGTATTATTATTTTTATGATCATTATTTTGAATTTAATTACATTATCTTCTATCAAAAGCATGTTCATATAAATCATGTTCAATTTTTTTAAGTATCATTTTTTTAATAACAATTCTTGTCATAATGATATAAACTACTTAAGCAAACAATAAATAGATTTTTTTTTTTTTTTTTTTTTTTTTTTTTTTTACATAGCTAATTTTTTTTCTTTTTTGTTTGTTTGAGTAAAACAAGATGTGTATAAGAAGGAGGAGAAGAAGCTTAAGGCATAGATATTTGGTGATATACTAATATTGGAACCAATTTAAGGATTTGTAAAACTCTAAGAAGGTAGGAGATTTTCTAATAAAATATTAAGATTATTAGAATGGCATTGAATGAAAATAAAACTACGCACACACATAACAACATATGCCTGCACACACAATATATGTTTCAAGTCTAAGTCTAATGGAAGAAATAATGGAAGTTGAGTGCAAGTCTAATGGAAGAGTTGCATGAAGAAGCGGAACCCCAAAACCCTAGTGGTGCTGCCCGGTAAGGGTTTTAGAAATTGCGTCCACACCCTCGAGAGTTCGGTGGAATGCAATCTGCGCTGCAGCAATCGACGCAGAGTGTAGTGGGGCTTTGGTGATGGAGCTGCCCGACATGTTGGATCGGGGCTTGTCGATGTCAGATTCGACGAGCAATGCCTTCCAGGGAGACCCTCGGTTACAGCGGTTTCGTGACTGGATGCAGGTTTGCTCTCTCGAACGTGTGATCTGTCTGTTTCAAATTGTAAATCTTGTTGGGTGTTCGCTAATTTCGTGATCATACGTTTGGGTTTCTTCGAATTGGAACGTTAGCTTTGTGCCTTGTTCATTGTGTACGCAGAGAAGTGACCTGTAATTTCTAAGAACGTCGTTCATTTTGACGACTTGTCTTAGGATTGGATTAGCATGACCGAGCCATTTTGATCATGCCTATCGATATGTGTGGACATTCTTTGCTTTGATACATATTCTCTATGTCCTTCGTTGCATTCGAGTTTTTATTTATTTATTTATTATAGTTTTAATTTTTCTCAGTTTCTTGTCCCAGATAAATGGTGTACAATCACGATTCTGTGAAATAAGACCCAGCTCAAATGGAGAAAATGCAGGATTTGGCTTATTTGCTACCAAGGACAATGCTCAAGGTGCATTTCCTCTTAATTCCACACTTACATGCTAAATCTTTTTTTTGTATTCCATGCTATATAGTTGCAGTATACGAATGCATCATCCACATTTTCCTAAACTTCGAGGATTCAGTGGCCTTTACACTAAGCTTGTGGTTACAGGGGTGCTGATGGTGACCCCTCTTCTCCTGGCAATTACCCCCATGACTGTTCTGCAAGATCCTGAGCTGGGAGGCCATTACTGCAAGTTAATGGAAGAGGGTGAAGTGGACGATCGCTTGCTAATAATGCTTTTTCTTGTCATCGAACGTGCGCGAGGTCGATTCTCGTTTTGGGCCCCGTATCCTCTTTAGCTTTTTAATCCATGATATGATACGTGATTCTTCTGCAAGGCGTGAAATTGTGAACAAACAGCGGCCAAATTATTTTCAAGCCTTTAATTCCTAATCCTTTACGTCACCCTTGTGGTTAGCTCGGAGTTGCATTCCCTTGGAATTTAATGTCAGAGCTGAAAAAGCAGCGGAAGCCATCAATTTTAAACGGGCATTACGGTCCAGGTCAATCCTTAATGACTTGAATCAGGTATTTAGAAATCCTGCCATTCAAATTCGGGACTCCTCTTAGTTTCTCCGAGGAAGAACTTTCAGAGTTGAAGGGAACGCACCTTTTTCAAGCAACTCAGCAACAGGTACATATGGCAACCAGTTTTGATGTCTGATTGAAGAATGCACTGACGGCATGAGATTTGATTTTTAAATATTGGGGGCGATATATATTTACGTTGGGCCGATTCATGTTTTTATGTTTCAGCGAAGAGCGCTGAGTTCATCTTTCAATGAAAAAGTGAAAGCTTTTGCTGATACGGCATTATCATCTGTTGAATCTGAGAGAAGGTAATAACCTTCGACCTCTTATGGCCGAGAATTGTTGAGATCTTGTTCGTATTGTTCGCATTGTAGAATGTCACATGTTGTATGGTTGGTAATTATCCGCTCTGTGTTATGAGTGATAGTGATGTAGTCAGTGTCATCCAACTGAAGCAACTGCAATACAAGCCCTTCTACATATTTCGATTGACATCCTCCAAGCCGTTGTCTCGTTGTATCAATATTGCAACTGTACTGATTTATCGGCCCACGTAGGAGATACTTGGGATTTGAAGGATTGGTAAGAAGATGTACCTTGTGTTAATCATCTGGGCTGGGTGGTTTGCATGCAGAGAAGTTGAACTTCAAGATTTTATGTGGTATGTGCTCATGCGACTTGGTTCATACAGAATATGCTGTATGCAGCTTGCTGGTCATGTATTGTGCTACGCACCTTTCTTCCTCTATGCAACTGTCTTTCTCTCCCTAGTTCTTGCTGTTTTCAATGCGTTACAATTTTGCAGTAAAGAAGCGTAGCGTACTTCGACTTGTAAATCGAGTATTCGATTTGTATGTCATCATCTTGCTGCTGTACAATAGGACCTTCTTCTCTTGTTCATGTTCTCATATATGAGTTAATATACGAGGCACAATTAATTTGTGTGCAATTCTTCTAGGCTTAGGCGGAGTAAACGTTCATCGGAATTCGTATTTTCTTATTAGTCTACTACTGGGCTAATTTTACGTTGCCCTGTGCTGGACAGGGCAAACTCCGTATTTTGGACTCGTGCTTTAAATATCCCTTGTCCACACTCTTTTGTCTTTCCATCCCAGCTTCCTATTCCACCAGCTCTTCGACCTCTTCAATCGGTGAATGAACCTGATAGTCAACAGCCTGCCGCACCAAAAGAGAATACTCCCAACAAGGTTAAAGATGAGCTCACAGCCTGTCCAAGCATGGCAGATAAGAATGACATGGGTTGTAACGACGCTAGCACTCACAGGAACCAAATTATCGCAGATTTGCAATCAATCAGTGAAGTGTCGAAATTGGGAATTCCAGAGGAGAATAATCGTTTTGCTGTTGACCTTGACTCGACAACACATAAAAAGCCTGAAGAATCCAGCGCCGCTGATACCGACGATGTGAAAATCCCTTCTTCTGTTTGGGTTGAAGGTCTTGTCCCAGGAATCGACTTTTGCAATCATGGTAGGTTTCATACCTATTTATGGCCTTTCTTCGATTTAGCCGTTGCATCTTTTTTTATGTTGCAAATTTTGAATTACCATATACAAAATTTACCTTAACTCCTTTTCGGTGGTAGATCCATCACTTTGAAGATTCAATATCTGGATTATTTAACCAACTTTAAACAATGTCATGAATTAATTAATTTTTTATTTTTTCGTTTTTTTGAAAAGTAATAAGGTTCTGAAATCAATCTTGTGCAAGGTGGTCAAAAACATGTTATTAGGCTGACATTCTCAGTTTGCATCATGTATATTCTTGTGTTTTGGTTGGTAAATTGGAATACATGAGATGTGCATATCGTTACTCTTCAGTTATTTTTTCTACGTCTGCGCTGTATGAGATCTTGTTCCCTTGATATCAGCTCCTGGGATTCCTCTCAACATTTGCAATCGACTTCATGACAAGAGGGGGGGGGGGGGGGATTTGTGCAGATCTCAAGGCAGTTGCTTTATGGGAAGTTGATGGTCCTGAAGGTTCTGTAACTGGTGTTCCCAACTCTATGTACCTTGTCACTGGTAAAACCCTAAACAACTCGTCCCAATTCTACACTTTGTCCATTACCTGATTCTGGTTGTTCACTAACTTTGAGATCAGGACTGAATTCTCGCTGGGCTCAGAGTTGTCAGTTTCAATATTGCAATGCCCTGAAAATTCTCAAATGTTTACTTGTGAAACAAGGCTGAAGTCCTCAAAATGTCTCTTGTTTTACTCAAATGTCAACTTCTTCCCATCATCCTGCAGACACCCTACAGAATTGTACAGTATTCATGGTTTGCAAAAATATTGGATGTAGCCACTGCTTCTCACACGATCACCTCAAATCAGATTTTAAAATTACCTGAATCATGGTTTCTTCTGCCTCTAGAATCAACACTTTTTATAGTTTTTCCAATTACCGTCGGAGATAATTTAGACCTCCTGGCTTAGAACAAATTTTGATGGCAAAGCGGGGGTGAGTTCCACCACGTGAACTTTGTCACCTCTTGGAGGAGGACTTGACGTAGTCATTTCAAACGGCTCAGAGATCTTTATCAGTTATGGGAACAAAAGCAATGAGGTATGTAACACGGTATGGAGTTCTACGCTCAGTGCTTTTGGTTCAAAGCTCGTCATGGTATTTCATTATTGTAGCGGCAGGAGCTCTATTTTCTAATTTGGAAGAAAGAGTCGTTTATCTATATGGCAAGCAATGAGGGGATTGCAATTCCTGAAGTAGGACTTCATGACTTATGCCGTTAAATTATTTTGCAGGAGTTACTGTACCTTTACGGATTTGTTTTAGTGGAAAACCCCGATGACTATCTCATGGTAAGATCTACTATAGGCTGCTGTGGTGGTATTGCAAGTTCTTTCGACTTGACCTGTTGCTTTCAAGCTGCGTCATAGTTTAAATATTCCCTGTTTGTTATACTGTGAGTGCAGATATACTTCCCTAAGCAGGCTTTGGAGTATAGTGTCTGCAGCGATACCAAGTCCCAGCTCCTTGAACAATTGGTATATCTCTTTCCCTCTGCAGTTTCTCCTTCGGATTATTTATCACGGTTGGAAGCACAAATACGCAATTCATCACTTAGAAACCAAATGTGTAGTTTGAAACTTAAACTGATCTTCATTATTTGGCAGAATCTTCCTCTGCGTTGGCTCGTTCCTTCTTCAGAGTTGAAAAGAGGTTTCTGTTGTGAATCAAACTTACATATGCTATCTGAAACCCCGGCTGAGTCTGGGAAGCCAATTATCACCGGCCATAGCTGGACTGGCCACCGCAAGTCATCGGCGCTCGCTGAGAAAGTGGTGTTTCCTGAAGAACTCTTGACAGCGTTGAGAATTGTTTCCATGGAAGAGGATGAGGTTTACCATGTTGTTGCCATGCTGGAAGAGGTCAGTCTTTAACCCTTACAAATAAGTATCGTCAATATTCGAGTCGATTTACGAGCGTCGTCTTTTGTCAATCAAAGCTTTTGGTTGATGCATATTGATCATCCGATGCTTATATTTCCGAATGTTCTCACTTGTGAGCTTTTCTCGTCCTTCCTTAAACCGATCAAGGTGCTTTACCGTTTTTTTTCCTTGACACATTTTATTGTGTGGGATAGTTTTCGCTGCTCTGCATGAACTGGTGAATCGTGTCTGTGATTACAGATATCAGATCCAGAGGCTGGACGAATACCCACAGATGCAGATATTAAAGCAGCAGTGTGGGAGACGTGTGGAAATGCAGGGGCTTTGCAGTTGCTTGTTGACTTGCTGACATCCAAGTACTCCATTCCAACCTGTTGTATGATTTATGGGCATGTCTTAAACTCCGACGATTTCTTAATAAATGTTTTTAATTTTACTTTGTCGTTATGGACTGATGCTTTTCTAATGCATGAACTGCATCAATAATTCATACCAGGTTAATTTATAATCGTTATTGAGTCTGTAATGTTACGAAGCTAACTGGATTTGAAGTAACTTATGGTTCAAATTGCCTATTTGGTAGGTACTTGAAATCTTCTAGTAGGCTTTTTCAGGGCGGGTAGCAAAATGTTACTTTGTCCATCCATAAGATTTGTCAGGGTCATTAGATTAACAGACTCCCTCATGGTGACAGGATGATGGAGTTAGAGGAGGGTACAGGCACGGAGGATATGGATTCCGAGTTGTTGGCCAAGGATAGTAAGGCTCGCTCGCAGACCAAGGAGCAGAGTCGTTTAAAAAGGTATAGCTAATGCATATTAAGAGTCGCATTCGCGTTTACTGACATTACTGAAGGATTGGGTTGAATTGCAATGCTAATGGATCTAATCGTTTAGCTTGTTGCACCCTTTAATGTGATGAAACTCTCTGCTGGCGATTCCTCACCCTTAGCTTATTAGTTCAGTTATTATGTAGTTTCTGAAGGTCATGGAGTTTGTTTCCGTTATTTTGACAGCAATCGTGGGTTCTTAACAGGACTAATGGAAATGATGAGCTGCAACAAGGCTACAGCCGACTGTCTGACAACAAGAGATCATCTGTTGTGTATCGGATGGGTCAAAAATGCCTCACACGTCGCTTTCTACAAGAAGCTGAAACGGCCCTTCACGTTTGTGTAGATCATATCTCCTGAATGTAGCCCTTTGATTGATGACAAATGAAGGTCAACCTGATGGCAGACAATGATTTCTTCTAAGAAAGTTCATTCTTTGACAATGTTAGAAATGTGCTTAGTAAGCACTGTGATCAGTGTCTTTTTTGCATCCTGGATTTCTCGCGATGATTATAAGGGGCACATGTACTGGCTTGGTGTACGACCTCTTCATTTGGATTGAATCCTATGCAGCTTCACCGGACGCACTTTTTGCTTAGACATCTACGTTGAGCTAATTTGCGGTAAAGGGTGGGAAATTCATGGTTCAGAGCTTTTGGATAATACTTTTGCATGTGCCAAAATTAGTTACATGGTGCAGAATCATCTTGTGCATTCTGATCGTATCCAGGTATTCTGAATCCCTTTGAATTCTTTCAAAAGCAATCCTGGGTAATGCTTGCAACAATCTCTCTCTCTCTGACGAGAAGACAGGATGAAACTTGGGGAAACTGGGTGTGTTGCACAGTTAAAACCTTTTGAATGATTCGAAGACATCATGAAGCTCATTTTACAGCCTGCGGACGGCGTTTGTCTGGAGGACGAGCTTCACAAAGTAAGTTGAAGCAGATTTTAATCTTGCAGATAGATTTTGCCAACGGCATGCAATCTCTAGAATCCCTTGAAGGACCGGCACTTCCAGTTATTTGCATTTCCATTTTTATTTTGGGGTTATGATTATGGATGAAGCCTCTCACCTGCAAATATCGATAGTATTTAATGGATGAGCTGTTAGGAGTCCTAAAAAAATATTTGGAATGAAACTTGTGCTATTTGAAACTACAAGCAGTGGTGCATCCCTGAAGTTTGCTGGATTGGGCTCTTGCTGCACGTTACATCAGATGGCAATGCTTCGAAAATGAAATGGAATAAGGCACGAACCTATTTATTTTAGAGAAACCAAACTGGCGCTGGGTCCTAACCTTCGGAGACTCATATTCCCGATATGCAAAGAACCCATGGTTATCTTAAAACAGGATTTGAAATTTCAAGCACATCACACAATCCACAAACAATTCAGAAGATGCAGGACTGAAACATTTTCTATCCATAATTTTCTTATTCTTTTTAAAATCCTTAGCAATTTTAAAGTTTACAAGCTATTCAAAAGTATTTGTTTGGTACCATGACCCAAACTGAGTTTGTTTTACTCATCGGTGATGGAAACTTCCCGCATCGGTGGTGGAAACTTGTGGAGAGCTTTGTTCAATAATTAACTGACGTCAGTGGAGAATGTTTCAACCATGACAGGGCTTGCGAAGCAGCCAACTCCGTTCCAGAAATGGAAAGAATGATGGGATGGCCCCCATTTCCGCAACTGAGGTAGCCCATATTTTGTGGCCCCATAACCATCCGGCTTTCAGGGCTCTGGTTTTGAGGTTTGACCCAGTTTTCAGCCGTCATTCCTGCCTCGGCCTCACCCCCGCCGAAGACAGTAAAAAAGAGAGGTTGTCTCCCGAACTCTCACTCTCCTTCGAATGAAAACACACACTTTCACCTCATTTTCACCATCACCCGTTGACCTCCTCATCGTAGTATGAGTCGCCGAATGACGTTATGGTCGTCCCAGTGAGCTCAAGTCACGGCCTCACCATGCTTCACAGACCAGATTTACTCTTATCTTTGTAGACCCTAAACCACCATGTTTATTTGCCAAGTTTGCTTTCAAGCTTTAGCGTTTTGTAGCACTCGGGTTTCGCATTGTAATCTTTCTGTTTTGGGGATACTTCACAGTGCGTTGTGCTCGAGCTTCTTCATAAGAAGACGATCGAGGACACAACCTTTAAATCAACAAAATCAAAACTAGCAACAATTAAATCAAAACTTATGGCTACAATTGCGATTATGAAATATCTACATGATTTTTTTTTTTTTTTGATTGGTTTGAAAAATATTGAACAAAGGCTACATATGTTGGATGGAGGTATCAATAGCATTAGCAACACCTTACATACACACATGTTAACAAACTATTCAACGAAACTGGTTCCTAACTGTGAGCAAATATGTTTGTGTGTGTAGTCTAATGTGGGATATTTGGCAAGAAGGATCAAGATGAAGACATGTGGAACCTTTTTACCAGTCAGAGGGAGCCTAGAAATCTGAGCTCCCTTCATTTGGACACACAGGAAAAAATCCTCCACTCAAATTGATATGTGGGAGATTGTTAGGAATCTGGTTAAATAGAGAGTGTCTACTGAGATGGCTCTCAACAACATGGAGACTGGAGTTTATCCAAAAAAAAGGGTCAGAATTGAAACTACTTTGTTCCCATGGTGTTGTTTACATGTGTGTACAATATATGGTTTGGTGATTGATGAAGCAAGGCTTGTTGGAAGAGCAGGCAGTGTGAAATTAGGGTTAGAAGTTAGGTAGATAGATCGATGTGCTTTGTCCAGGAAGCCATCCAGCAACCAATCCACCTGCATGCCACCCATTTTCCAAAAAGGTATGAGTTCACCATTCCAGATGACATTTTTTTTTATCGTCAGGAATGTGCCTATGGTGCTTCTTAAGGAGGTGTTTCCATGTAACACACATTGATAGCAATATATAAAATAATATATAAATACTGCTTTTTAGACCATTTACTGTGCAGCAGTGGCCAGAATATGATCAGCCATGGGACCATCCAAAAACAAAGGACTTATTCATTGTCTTTATTTTGAGATTCCTCACACTCCTTTCTTTACATGGGGTATCTCCACCAGTGCCCTACTAAATGGGTGTGCCATTGGGTTTGGGATGGTGGGCTCACAATTAAACCTAATTCCAACCCAGGAATAGGTCCCACAGGTACCCACAGTTTAGTGACCTGGAAGAAAGGATGCTTGCCATGCAGAGACAAAATATACAGAGCTGAACTAAATACTGAAGAAAAAATAAATAAAAATAAAAGGCATTAAAAGAGGCAGTGTTCAAAACTGTCTAAGACTGAATTCAAAACTATTCAAGGACTTGGAAAGGACATCCTCCCAAAATTCAACATATTTAAAACAATTTGGTCTCTATTATGTAGCATTTTTTCTTATAGAAAATATGATCAAACTTCCTACACAACAGTAGAATGCATTGGAAACTCATTTTAGACAAACTGTACAATTAAGAAAACAATAGCAAAGCCATGCTATATGGTTAAGATAAAAACATGGATAACCTAGCATATGTTAGGTGCTAGACACAACAAATCCATTAGGTTATATTTAATTCCTCCTTATGTTCACATAATTGTTCTCGTGAGTTTAGCAACTAACATATTATAATACTCACTCTAGTAGTAGAAGTGATAGTGTTTCATTCACTACCCAATTTCTAGGTCTACAATCCTTGATTGCAATATACTGAACCTTTACAATCAATGAATTGGATAAACCTGGCCATGTTCAAAAGAAAAAAAACAAAACTGTCCAAGGGCAAGTACCACCTCCAACAAAGAAGTATATTACACCCCAAATTTGCCTTCATGTAGCGGGGCCTGTACCCATTTTGGCAATGAGCAGGAGGCAATGGGTGGAGCATTTGATCATACCAATTTTGGTTCAGAAATGCCATAAATTTTGGTTTGAGTATGTTGAAGAGACTTGGTGGAGATGCTCTTATTACTTCTTCTTTTTTAATGTTTTATTACCATGTCAAAGGCACATTACTGACCTTTTGCCAGCCACATGTGTATCTGCAAACATCCATATTCTTTTTGTCAGGAATTGTTGCATGTGTGTTAAAAACATGTCCAGGGAAACTTGGAATTGGGGATACATCTCTGGCTGGCAATCACAGTGAAGAAATTCTGAGCCATCAGTTCGGCCAACTTGTATTGTGTCAAAAACACACAAACACACAAACAAACAAACAAACATACATCAACAACAACAACAGAGGCTATTGTAGACAATTTGCAAACTGGGCTGGTCAAACAATGAGAAGGCCATGTGGCCACCATGTGGGCAATTGCAGCTCTCTCACATGTACCCCCAGTTTCAGAGTGTTTGATGTACAGATGGTGGTGGCAAGGAGACCATAAGCCACCACACATATATTAGAAAAATGAACAAGTAAAGTATAATAGTATATGAATAAATAAATAAACAAAGATTGGTGGTGCAATGGAAAGTCATTAAATTATTTCCCTTCTCTTTGCTTTGGCAGGGAAAGGGTGTGAGAGTGGTCAACCTGGATGTGGGGTATGAATGGATTAATGGATGAGTGAGAGTTGGTTATTTCACTCATCTTCCTCTTGAGTGCACTCCTCATCTTCCTTCCTTTATTCTTAATTGTGGTGTTTGTATTCACATGAATATATATATATATATATATATATATATATTTGTATTTGTTCATACATACAAGAATATATATATTATTGGGTGGTTGGGACCTGATTTTTTTATGGTGAGCAAATCATGTGGAAATTCCTTTGTAAGTATGTTTCAACCCATAATTATATCGGCACAATTTGAGATATATACTACTTTTAACTCAATGTGCTGATGAAATCAATCATTTGTCTATGTCTGCAATTGAAAAGCTGTGACCTCAACTGTAAGAGTTGTTGATGACATTGTTTTTTCTTTTATATCTGGCTGTCTCTACCAGGATGAGTTGGAGAAATCATTTTCATAAGGAATCACCTTATGCTTTTGTTGGTTGATTTTTTTCTATTGTTTCAACATGATTTTGACTTTTGTTCACCATCCTGTGTACAACAAGCAACATGAGCCAAATACTTCTAAAAGAAACAACAAACAAACAAAGAATGGAATGTAAACCTTATGGGTACCATGTGTACATTCCTTTGTGATTCCTTTAATTTGCCCATCCCTTATAGTCTTCAATTGGTAAGACAATTCAATTGTTTATTATGAACCATCACCTTTCCTTTCTTTTCTTTCTTTCTTTCTTTTTACAGTGGATTTGAGAGAGGTGGTAGATGAATAAATATTAAAATAAAATTTCAAATAAATTTCTGATGACAAGAACAGTAGAATAAGCAACACCAAAATTAACTTTAACACACCAATCACAACCTTCATTTTGTTTATTTCTTTCTTTTCTTTTCTTTTCTATTACAACTTCACTAAAAAGATAGTAGGTTTTTCTTTGAACACATAGTAAATAACATAAGAAACCATGTGGATGTTTTACCAATGTGCATGATCAATCATGTTTTTGAAAACTAGTAATGTGCAAAGATTCCTTAGGGCTTGTAGGAGACAAGGTGTTTTGTGAAGTATGTTGGGCATTTGTATGTGAAAATGGATGGTGAGAAGGGTGAGGTAGCACCTTTGTCTCACACTCAAGGTTCCTTGTTGCCTACATCATCATGGCTCAAAGTTGGATATTCTCTCAATTATTGCAATTTTTACCACGTTGAGTGGGTTTAAGGCTTTTTATGGACATTTTTGGGTTATTTCCATGCACGAATTACATGGTTTGAAGTTGCACACAAAATCATTTGCAAACAAACTTGCCACAATTGTAAACTACTTGGACATGGAAAAATACTTTTTGTGATGAAAGGATTGTACTTGAAAACATAAGCCTAAAGCTCACAAATGCAGTTAAGAAATCTTAGAGACTACATGATTGTTTGCTAAATATAATAAAGAATTGCACATGATGTTGAAGATGAAAATTGTGCATCATTCTGAAGACTAAAAGATTTAGGGCTGTTGACTGGATTTTGAAGGAGACATTCCTAAAGTAAAAAAAGTATACTACAATAGTTAATACTAATCTAAACATTTCATCATGAATATGATGTTTTGGGGTTCATTGAAAAGATATTAACAGTGGCATAAATGTCTTTGATTTGGTTAAGAATTATCGATTGTCAGTTTTTATCAATATCAATTGATTGTCATCTATTTGCGTTTTCATTGAGTTTTGAATATTCAATTACATCTTTTCAATGAACAAGAGTCTGGGATGATGGATACTACAACACCAAACACAGATACTTTAGAAGTTATAAAAGAAAAACTGGGAAAACTTCACATTTTTGTTAACATCTTTTCAGTGCAAGAGAAGAGTACCCCATTAATAATTTTGAGAAACCCCATTTGCTTCCATATTTCAAGTTTACAAAACTTTTCCTCTTTCATGAGTATCATGTAACACATTACACTTGACAACCTTATTGTTGAATGACCTGTTAATGCTTGTGCAACAGTTGTTTCAATGCAGACAGCTTATGAAAATTTACTTTCTTGCACAAGCATTTTTATCATTTTTACTTTCATTTTCACATCCAGTTAAGAAATAGGCTCTTTAGAGCATCTACAATACACATGACAGAGCACCCATCTTAAAAAAAAAGTGGTTTTGGACTTCATGAATCTTCTTCAATTTAGGCCTCCTTTTAGAAAAGAAGAGCAAGTGGTGCCTAATTGAGTGCCTCAATGCCTGTAAATGAAGCAACCTCAGAATGTGGGTAAGCCTACAGCATTCCAATTTTATGATGATTCTCACATGAGGTCCTTGCTTAATCACCTCCTTAAAGCATATTTTCATGTAGTCTGTCTCTTTTCATTTCTGTCTAGCCTGTTGTCACATGCCCAAGTGAACATAAACATGCATTGTATTTTATTTTTTCTGAAAGAAAATGATGCACAAATTTGAGAGCGTGGGGATGAGATCTCACTCCCATTCTCATCAGAAAATGCCAAAAAGTAGGATCCAACACCTCCTGAATGTTTCAAAAGGCAATTTGTCTTGGATGGTGAAAAACCTTTTGTCTCTTGTAGAGCAGTCTGCCTTACGAAGGGATCATCGCTAAGAGGTAGTTTCTTTTAATGTTTGGAATCAGTAATAAGAAAAAAATAATACGAAGAAAGTAAACAGTGGAGGGAAAAAAACGGAGAATAGGACACAGCTCGGGTTTCCAGTTGATTTTTTTGCAAGGTTTGAATTGCCCAACTCACACTGTTCCTTTTTCAATGGTTCTTTTTAATCAAATAATGCCTGGCCAGTCTGTTTTTGGCTTAGTCTCGCCTTTTGATACAGAATGGATCAATTCAATTTTTTTGTCAATATTATGGCACATAATGGTTCATTGAACCCTTTTCAATGAATAATATTAGAATGAGCTTTTCTTAGTACTTAAATAATAGTTCTGAAAACTGAAAATACTTGGATTAAGTTGACTAGGTATTACTAAAGGCCAATTTTTATAATTGCGGGTCTTCCCACATGCAAAGGCTTTCCCCACATTCCGTAGCAAGATTTTTGCACTCTAGCTGGAGCATGTACTGAGGTGCAGAAGGTTTTGGAGATGGATTAGGGTGAAGTTTCCATGTGTTAAGCTTGTGAACCAATGCAAGAAAGCTGGACAATGGTGATTCTAGTATACGAGGTTTGTGAGACGGTAAGCACATCAGCAAGTGAAAACCCAACCGAACACAATCGGTGTTGATTACAAATAACAGGAAAAATCTGGAACAAAACCAGCAGTTGTATTCCAGTGATTCAAAGCTTGCATTAGAACTGTCATTTCAGTACCAGAGAGTCTCTCAAGGTCCACCGTTTTGGGTAATGCTGTGTCACTGTAGCCTGTGTTTTTTCGAGTGAGCGGAAAATACATCAACTTGCACCGAGACTCACGTTACTGTGGCCCTTTCGAGGGTAAATTGCACACATTGTCTTGATGTTGAACAAGGTCACTACGAAGTGCAATTCGGTAAAACAGATTGTAGCTAGAAGAGCCGCGCTGTCAATCGATATCTGACGTGAGAATGAATCTGAAGAGAAGGGTCCAAAGTGGGGCAAAGGTTCGTTCAGGTTTCTTGGTCTCCTGATTCCTGCTTACGGAAGCAATTTGCTTACCGCCTCACAAACGCCGTCGTCGGACTGGCGCAGTGGCATGGCCCTCCATTTCCTGCACTGGAAAGGGTGAAGTAAATCTCTGGAGCGCTTGGGGCCCACGCTGCTGCGATTTCCGCCCTTCTTGGGATGTGGCAGATTTTTTCGCTCGGTGAGAGCGGGATGAGGGGCCAAAGGTCCGGGTCCTGGCCTGCTCCATGATCATCATCGCGAGACACAGCACCGAATTGTCAATCAGCAGTTCTGAGGTTCTCCGGGCTCAAGCCTGGTCCCGAACCTCCGATCAGCGGTGCAACGCCATTTTTTCCCCACTTCTTCTTCTTCTTCTTCTTCGTCATCGTCTTCAATTTCCAACTCTGTGGTCATCATCGGATCAGACCTGGCTGCATTTTCTATCATTGCCTTGTACCTTGGCATTGAAGGCCTAGCCTGACAGATTCCCGCTGCTTCCGGACGCTCATGTCAAATTTAGGCCCGCTCTGATAGACCTAATGATTCCTCCAACATCGACTACTCTGTTCATCCGCCTTTCCATTTCCGAGGATGGCTCGCTAGCTATTCCTGGGTACGTGGGATTTATCTAAAGGAAGCTCTGCTTGGCTGCATGTCCGAGCTACAGCGAGCCCACCATCTAAGGTCCGCTACAATTCACATCAAATGAAGTTATCGTAACTTGAAATGATATTGAAAAGAGAAGTCTAAATCTTTAACTGGATCGTGGGCCCAACAGCCTGCAACATCTGTTGCTGCGAGCCTATAAGATACGGCTCCACCAACTTCATTCCAATGCCCGGGATCACTCGAGAACTGCAGTCACTATCTTGTTCAGCTCCCAGGATCAAGCGAACCTGCTGTAGGGCCCATTGCGGTGATTTCGTTGGCTTCTGTTAGAAGTGTGGGTTTTCTAGTAATTCAAGGCAGGCATCCATATACAGGAGCAGTGCGCTTGTCTTGTGCCTTTCCCCTTGCCGCACAACATCCATGCTGCTCCCGTATGTGCACAGATGAGTTCGTCCCATGTTCCTGACCTCTCGCGGTGGAGACTGGGAGTCAGTGTTTGCGTCGATTAGAGCCGAGCTTTTCAGTTCTCACGTGCACAACGCTGCTGGAGTCTTCTTCTCATGTGTTGGAGCTGTTTCTAGTAAAAAGCACCACATAATCTGCCGATGGAACTCCTCATGTGCTCTTCGACTGTCTTGAGTGCTCAAGTTTGTGCTTTTTTAAAGGATCTGTGCTAGTACTGTTGGATGGACATCGACTTTGCCGGTAAGTGCACCCGACATACCACGTTTGACAGGCGTAAGTGGGTGACAACGAGAGAGAGCACGCCGGAATGCGTTCATGCAGCGAGTGCCTGGAGGTGTTCGAGCGTGCCCTCTCCCGTCGTCACCAATCTTTTTCTCTGACTCTGGTTTGTGTAACATTGTTCGTTATACGATTCCCTTCTGGGTGGTAGCAGAAAAACTTGGATGGAATTTGGGACCAATATATTAATTTGTTCGATGCGTCTGTGTACTTTGGTATGCTAGATGATTGGCTTCTGAAACCAACTAACATGATTTGTACATTTCTTAAGCAAACTCACATGCGAAGCGTTTACGAATCCTATTCGTCAGCGGAGAACCGCAATCATCTATCCTAATTCCTTTAGAATTTTTGAGACTGATCTGCAAAATGTTGTCCCATAGGTCGAAATAGTCTTTCGAGCCTCGCAGGCAAGTAATCCAGCATGTACAGGTGGAGCTAACAGTGGACTTGTGGAATCGTTACTCGTATGTTCAAAGAAGTTGTGGTTGAGCTTGTCCAAAAGCCGATGCTTCAGGCATACTAGTCATTGAGGAGAAATAATCCTTTCGACCCAGCACTAGATCGTTTGAGTCAAAAGCGAGTCTCTGTAGTTTTTTTAATTAAGTTTATTACTACTGGGGCTGATGTAGGCAATGGTAACAATCAGTGATGTGCAACATCGGTAACCAACGGCAATAGAAGGATATGTGGGTAAAGATCACTAGTTGCAGACGTAGATTAAAGACGCAGCAAAGAACATGATCTCGATTCGTCATCAATTATGTTACTTTCAGATGTCTGATCGTTCACCTTGAAAGAGCCGAATTTGACATAATAAGCGAAACTCGCAGATATTTGGTTTTTTCATTGTAACTAAGTGCAGTGCTCAATAGGTGCACACATCTATTTCTGAAATCAAATTCACTTTCAATACAAATCTCCACATTTAATACACCAGTGTTTAATAATCAAGTGTGTGTGAAGCAAATTTATAATGCATGATCCATCCATGCATCAACATTTCTTGCTTAGATTGAAAGAAAAACCATACTCGTACACTAATGCAGGATTAGCAACGTGAGCTGAGAGCATTGTGCATTCGGAAAGGAAGTTATGAGCTCCTTCAGTAAGACTTTCGAAACCGACGACCGTCAAGAACCTGAAAGCATCGTCTGTAGAAAAGAATTCTTTCGGGACCAAAACCGATAAACTAGTATTATTCCTCTTATGGTTGTGATTACAAATCGTTCATAAGCGATAGAGTTGCTACTGTAAAGAAGTTTTTTCGACTTCTCAGCAATGTTAACATATATATTCCCTGACTGCCTGCAAACAACCACATATTCAATGCAAATGAAATGCAGCGCAGTGTACGAAATTCTGACAGCTCAGTAATAAATAAACCAGGGGCTCATGATTGTAACCTGTAAATCTGCGCTTGGCTAGACAAGCCCAAGTCATGGGACCCACAGGCTTGTACCACAATGTCAATAGTACACTACTGGGACTGTCTGGTAGCGTTCACGCAAGTAGTCAAGCAGCATGCCAATTGGTGCACTTACCCAGAAGGAGCAAAGGCACGAAGCTAGATTCACTATATATTTCGTGAGGGCCAGGACAATCGCGGTACTATATGGAGTGTCGAGCCCACGCAGTGGCAGTGAACTGGGAAGCTCAATTAATGCAGCCTGCACTTCAAGTTTACCTGCTGCTCTCTCCAGAGTCATGTGTTGCGTGTTTGGTTTACCCATGTTTTCTAAAATCCTAGCAGGAGACTCTTGCAGATGAGGGAGTCTGCTCCTCCAAAATCTCCGATGTTTAAAAGAGGTGTGTCGGGTAAGTGGTATGCCGAGCTGTGAAAGGAAGAGCAAGGGGCGTAATGCGCAGAATTTACATAGGACAATTCAACTTAAGCTCTGAATCGTTTGCAGCTTACTCGATCTTTAAGCTCTTATTCTCCCGGTTCTACCAAGCCAAATTCTGATTTACTCATATTGCTGAAAGGTTGCGTATCTGCGTGTGTGATGCGTGAATTTATACAGAAGCAAAAGCTGCAAGGTAAACAGAATATTGCCCATGAGTTGCGGTGTTTCAGGAAATCTGAGTATCTAATGTATTCAAAGTTTGTTAACATGTCAGATGTTCAAGCGGCCCACGCAGAAGTCTGAGCACACACGTCATCTCTGATTTGCGAAGCCGAGACCATAAATTCGACAATGTTGCAAAATCAACAGCAGCACGTTAACTTATAGCATGTCATGAATCTACTTACGAGTATACATATCACTGCAACCGACGGCAAAAGCTCTGAATAAAAGCTCCCATTAAAATTAGATTTTACGTGTTGGTTTGTAACTAGAATTGCAGGTATACAGCTAAGATTCTGCATATCAACAGCTACCTTTAGAGTTGCTATATTGGTTTACGATTTTACACACAAAGAATCAGCTAGACTTGAATTGCTGTATCAACTAAGTTAATGAAGTTGACCTCGAGCTTCAGAATGCTCCTGAGCTTGGGTGTTGCGTCTGCTAAGCTTAAAGGTCAGCTAGCATAGAGTCGTGGAATCCTGTAGCATTAAACCTTAATCCTCGTGGCAGAGAATGTTGAATTTCTTCTAGAATTTCGTCATCAGTCCAAAGGTTGCGTATTGATTAAGTAGAAAACTACAAAATGAGGTCCAATTTGCAGTTTTACCATTAGAAAGCATGGAATGAATGCTCTTAGCTTGGACATCCTCGTGGGAAGCACCTCCTACGCAACTTCAAAAGCATAAAACCTATCTAAGACACACTAGGTAGACTGAGATTCTATCCTCATAGACTTGAAACGTAGTGTAACCTGCTAGTCTTTCAGCCTTACTAAAGTCAAAGTACTAATTTTTACACAAAGGGAAAGAGATCGTCCGTTCCTTATTTCGGTGGAGTTATACACAAGTTTCACGATATCGAAGTTTTGAATGCAATCTCGAAAGAATGAATAGGTTGTCTCATCTCTCCGAGTTCCAGCAACTGTGGAATGTGGTTAGCCTTGAATATGAAAAGCTTGAAGCAGTCCAGAAACTCCTCACAAGCGGGGGTTTAGGAAGGAAGAGGTCCACCAAAAGTACCTTGTACGACATCCATGGACGAGTCTCTTCTTCCCAGCAATCATAGCATAAAATTGGTTAATCCATGCAAGCACCAACCAGCACACGTACTTATTCCCGCTTGCAACAATAGAGTCTAATCAATACTTTTTGAAGAGTTTAAAAATCAGATAAGATTATGCTCCAAAATAAACATGAAACAAAAACAACTAAAATGCTGATAAGAAAACAGGTGTCCGAGATATTCTTAGGATGCACTGCGAAATTAGCAGTACGGCAAATACTTCTCTCAAATGGAATAGAGCATCTTCAGGCAGAAACTTTGGCCAGTTGGTAGAAAAGAACAAAAATGAGTTATGAATCTATTTCTCTCCCCATACAGAGGGAAAGAAACCCCAACTTGTAAAGTGAAACAAATACGCATCAGAACATACCAGTCGCAAATACTTACATCAGTTCACCAGGATGTCCCATTCGATCCAGGTGTAGACTAGTGTCAGCGAGGAAATGCTTATAAGCTCTACGCCATGAAGTGCTTCCTGCACATTGCACTGCAGTTACAGTACACTGAATAAAACATGTCAAGCCCAACCATGAAGCCTTTTTCCACTTCAGACAAACAAAAACTTCCGACCAAATAACTAGGACATTTGTGCTCCACCTGGCAACAATTTTCTGCACTAGATGTAAGTAGCATTTCTAGATGGTGTTGCTTATAGTACCTCTATCGTAGATTCTGTAGTGACGGTAAAATCTGCTGCAAATTTTCCAATTCTAAGATTTCAAGGTCCAAAATTCAGATATCTAGGTGTGAATTGCAGCACAAGAGATCTCACAAATGAAACAAGTTACGAAAAAATGGATAATTCTTAGAGAATTTAGTCATTCTTTTGTCATTGGGTCGTGTAATGACGTAGTCAATCAGTTAGGCAACCTCCCACCCAGAAACCAAGAAAACGTTCCAACAACTAACTGCGGTTTCATGCTGCAGACATATCTTTTGACAACAAATGTTATCAGAAAATCTGGCAGAATTGCAGACCTCACATTTGGTAGAGTAAGTTTTTCATCATGAGTACCTCAAGAAGTGTCATGATCGCCAGCATGACGGCTTAATATACCTCTTGTTTACTTGTTTGTCATTCGTTTTTTTTTCCAGAATTTGAAATCTACTGATTTCCAAATGTCAAGCCGCCTGCTGTACACTGGATGGCTGAAAGCCTTTTTCCAGTAGTGGCAAGATATATCATTGGTGTAAATTGTAATAAGTTGATGCTTTGAATGTCCTGGAGCTGTTTGTAACATGTCGATTGTCTCTTTGTTTTTCTGAAATGTACAATTTTCATCTTTGCAAATTCAAGAGATTAAAATTACATCCTTCCAAGACATTTCCTGATCTTAAAAGTCCTCAAACAAAGACCTTGTAAATTTGGTGGCAGCTTATCTGAATTGTCCCATTGCATGAGACCTAGAAAATAACTAGGGTTGTTACACATTGATATTCAAAGCAACCAATTCCTACCAAAATAAAAAGTCAATGAGAAAGAGAATAAAGTAAAAGGACCGCGAAATTTGAGATGGTATCACGGATCACTTACATGTTAATTTTGCCAAGATCAGCATTGCAACTCCTCCGTTTGTAAGTTATATTCGGAGTCTTAGTACTCCTGCAACATTATTACACAAAAAATACTCCTGCGAATCAATTTCTGACAAGATCTAGCCGCACCTACCTTACCCACAGTGCATCCCACTATCCCAGTCAGGACCTTCAAGGTCTATGTCAGGTGAAGCGGGGCCATGCTGCTGTTTTCGATGTATCACCCGTAGCCTTCCTTGATATTGGAGCTCCACGCTGACTCTGTTCATGCTGGCTAGTTCTGAGACTGTCAAGCTGGAGATGTGCATGAGACTGTTTGTTTTACAGCATGAACATCTACATCAGCTTCTAAGCAGAGACAGTGACCTTTCGAAACATTGTGGATGTCTCCTCATGGTCTTGGGTCTGGAAATAGCTACAAGTATTAGCCTGTCATTACATAACTTACGGCTGGTATTCTCATGCACCAAACACCCAAGGCCGCACACCAACCCATCATTTCACTGTCAAAAATGTTAAGTCCTGCACAATTGCACTCTTGCTGAGGAAGATACCTCAGTAATCCTGCAGCTTTTCTTGAACGATGTTAAAAAACGCTGAGCTGGTGTATATATAAACCTGAGGACTTTTATAAAAAATAAGCAAACCAATTCATTCAGTGTAGATCACATTGAGTCTGCCCACTTCGACTGTCCAAAATGGTTCGGGTTTTTCTGAATCAAGTTATCATGATTCAATACCTCTGTCCGGGTTAGTGAACTACAGCAAAGGTGTGCTAACCGGCTAGTTGATGCAGGTTGCCATAAATCTTAGGCAGAAGATGTGCGAGCCTGCAAACTGTTGAGTCCATGCACCAGCCGGCCCAGTTGCTCCATATTCTCGTCCATGTACTGCAATTATGCTTAGAGTGGAACTAAATGACCGCCAGAAAATATGATGACACTGGGTACTCACAAGATTTTCCTCAAACAAAACCACCTACGGAGAGACGTCGAGCTACCACGTTAGTTCCAGCGAGTAAAACCAGAGAGGTTACAATTCTAAGAGACAACTGGGTCCCAATTGCGCTTCTGAACAAATCTCCGAGATTGATAAGGCACTCACAGTCAATTGCCAATTCATTCAGACTGTTTCTAACCCTGAACGGTAAACGCTGTGAAGTAAGTTAGAGGGAAGTACAGAAGGCTTGAAAGATCCGGAAGCAGGATTTCCTCGTATCAAGTGCACACGAATGCTCATGAAACGATAGCAACCTGAAGCTGGGTGTGCTTCAGAGCCCTAGCAGCGAAAACATGACACACATGATTCACGCTCTTCTGACCACGAGGGCACCATGGTGCAGAGACCTGCTGGCTAGATGTTGCTCTCTCCAATCTGTATTAACATTAATGCCAAAGACAAACCCCAGATCCTTTCTTTTCCACCGACAAAGCAGCGACAAAGCTTTGTAATTCAGAGCTTACAAGGATGTAGCTAAAATAACGCTGTCACCGGCTCTATGAGATTTCCCTTGCACCGATGGGTTTCATTTTAAACAAAAACATTTCAAGATAAGACACCGATGCAAGCGTGAGTAAGTTCTGGTCGGAATGCGGCTTCTGAATGGTATCGTCTCTATACAAGGACATTGTCAGAGAAGAAACGATTTTTACGTTGTCAAGTAACCTCTTTAATGATCAGATTTAAACACTTCAGTTGTTGCAGGCAACAGTGAAATGAACGTTGAAAAAACTAGGTGTACTGTTGCCAAAGGTGACTTACCATGTATCTCGTTCTACCGCAGCGCCCCTGCCACTTCAATCGAGCCGCTTCACTCTGAGCTGCTGAGCAAATTTGGTCTTGCAAGAGTCCGTAGCGCATCCAGCTCTAGATTGTGTGTGGCGCTTGAATCGCTATGCTAGGCACAACGTGCCGAGAGATCTTTTTCGTACGCAACGTGCTCCAGCTTTCGGTGATGCGGCGTCGTAACACCATCCACTTGTGGGTGTGGTGAAGTGCACCACTTCCATATCCATCCACTGATCCCCTATGTCCTTCTAATCAATCCTGGAAACTGAATTCAGGCCCGTCAATCCGCTTCTGAACACCACTTTGCAAGGGGCACTAAAAAGAATAGAAGTGGCTTTTCTAGGTCAGTCACAGTAATCTCTTGGACGGACTACATATGATCACAGTATACAGTCAAAATCCTTCCGTGGTCCATAACATCAAAACCTACAAAATGCGGACTCAATGCTTCACATCAAATGAGCATCAGTCAGTTGAATTCCTCTATTGCTCAAATTGCAACGTCAACAGTTTCTACTTAACTCCAATATAAAAAAAAGCATCTTGAGTCATATTTTGAGAATACTTGACATCCCCTTCGCATCTAAAGATAGGTCATGACGTCGTCTTTTAGGAATAGAAGTGTCGCACGCTTGGTACACCTGGAACCCAACAGGTGGTTTGCTGCAGCTCTGAAGAATACTCGGAACAATATTTTGGGGCTCCGATGTTCCGTCGTTCATCAATCAATGTATGTGTACTTTGAGGTTTCTGTCGTATCAGCAATTTCTCCCTTGAATTACTCAGGGCGATACTTGACGCAGGCTAAGAGGCAGTTGCCCCCTCAGTCTCACAGCAACAATATGAAAGCTTGCGCACTCTGCATTAGCACATGCACAAACATGCTAGATTGATAACTTGAAAGCCGACCTTCTGTGGGTGCGCAAATTAAAGACAACAATCGTGTGTGAAGCCGCCTCTGGTGCAACACGATTCGACGTGGTGACCTTCGGATTTGGATTGATGCCGCTGCTGACAGTGCTGTGATGCAACGGAACAACTCGCGCCGGACGCAGCCACCATGCTTCCGGAAAACTGCTTCCCAATGACTGTTCTGAAGTTTGCAACCTCACTAAATCAGCAGACCAAAAGGGTACTGCTTAAAAGTTAGCAGCACACACCCACCTTCCAGAACACCATGGGATTCAAATCCTCCTCTCCCAAAAGAATCATATTCAGTTACTGTAACGATTCAATAGAGGTGCAACCTTTTGAAGCCTGTTTCAACAGGGACACTGTTCGTCGAAGCAATATGGGTGATGCCGTGAACTTGAGGAATCAGTGATGAGAATCGAAATTACATTTATGGCATCTGGCACTCGTAATCCAGCTCTGGCCAATATTCATAGCTCTAGGACAGAAACCTGGACAAGCATGATAAGCTTCTGCCATTACTTGAACACATGAGCAGTACATTATCATTCCCCTGGGACTCTTCAGCTTCTGAAAGAAACTAAAAGCAAGCTCTGCGGCATTCCTATTACTTATTGAGTAAATCAAACCTTTAATTCAACAAACCTAATTCTCCTTCAATTGCTGTTGTTGTTGATATTGTTATTATTATTATTATTATTATTCTCAGACTTAGTGCACTTTATCAATTCTTCTTTGAAATAACTGTGCACACATCTAAGTGTGGGGCACTTATTCGTGTAGAAGGCTCACAAGAAGTAAATAGATATTCTAGTGTAAAGTAAAATGTTCTTAAACTTTCACATAGGAGATTGCAGCGGAGATTTCGAAACCAATTCCACATGCAGTTCCATAAAATCATACACTCAAGTAAAAATAATTCGGGAAAAAAAAAAGAGAAAAAAAACGGATACTAAATCTCAGGCTTATAGCGAAATCTTAAAAAAGAGTTCCCTGGAACACATTGTTAAAAATACTCATGAACATAAACTGGGAAACACAGACCAAATGAATCACTATCCACAACTCACGATTAACACAAATAGTCGACAGTGGCAGACGTGATGTGACATGGGGCGAGGGTGGCACTGTCACACGCTTTGAAATAAACCACGTGAGCGAACGCCCACCTACCTCCCGAAACGCGAAGGATATATATCGGTCAGTCAGTCACTGCACACACTGCAGCTGCAGTACTGCAACTAGCACCAGAACAATCGGAGAAGTCGGAGGAGGAAGTGGCGCAGGAGCTGCTGCAGCAAACCAGCACGCACATTGTGGAAAGAATGACATGATGGATGCCACGGTTGGGCTAGTGGGGTGCGGGGGCCACAATGGAACGGGCTGGATCCTTGCAGGCCTGAAAGCCAACCGGCGTTTCGCATCCGCAGCGAAGCTTTCACAATCTTTTCCCGGAGAATTCCAAGTTTATGGGAGCCTAACCGATTGAATGGCGAGGTGATGTTCCTGGGCAGCCAGGTCTTTGTAAATGGCAAAGCAGATCTGCGTGCAAATATGCTTGTCTAGCTAAACATGGCGTCCTGCCCAGCTATCTACCAAAGCATCAAAGGGGCGCATGTTTGTTTAGCATCACTCTGCTGGCGTCACCGTGACACTGCGCTTTTTCCCACCCTCCCCCCAATTGTTAGCACATATCAACACTTTACAGTTCATTCCCATTCCTGTTAGTTTGTATTTTTTGCATGTGTTGTATTGTCCGAGGTGGGAAGCCCACCTTATACTTCATTCGAGAGTAATGACGCGGAGAGATTATATCGGGTGCCGAATCTTACTTGGAACCTGGAGTGTAACCCCCACTCCCCATTTGATAGTATGGGTTGATTTCGTGCAAAAGATGTTTTTTTTCTAGTGCTTAATAAATGTCACAAGGTGGAATATCTTAGTGTTGAACTAAATTAAATTGTAGAGGACTTCGTCATTGTATTGGATCCCATTGATCCATATGTATGCATTAGGAGGAAGGAGGGCTTTCTAAACTAAAAAAGTACATTAAAAGAATCTCAAAAGAGAATATATAAAATATTGCTTGATAGAAGTCAAAGATTGGTCATGGTCCTTGCTTAGATTTTTTGGGTACAAAATCCAAAATATGAACTTGTATCTATATTATTTGAATTGGTTTCTTGACACCAAACCAACTATACTAAATGCTTTGATTGAATGTTATGATGAAAAAAACATATCTACTTATATCTTAATATTTTGACTAAAAGCAAATATAAGAGCAACAAAGAAAAATAATAATATAAAATAAAAATATCATTACTTTATGCTTTTTGAAGTATTTGTACTTTTTTGAACTATTAGACGACATTGTAAACTCTTGAATTGTGGATAATAGACATGCCAATTCTAACACCTAATATATATTTAGCCATCTATGATTTGTTTTATTTAATTTTTAGTTTTTTTAGTTTTTTAATTTTTTTGATTTTTTGATTTTTTAAATTTTATAAGCATAAAAAATATAGTGAATAAATATTTATATAGCTTATAAATTAAAAATC